TCTTGAAATCCTACTCTTCGAAATGAGGGCTTCTCAGGTTTTCATCGTTTTTATTACTTTGGCATTAGCCATTCCCTTTGGCATTACTTATGATCCAAGTCCACTCCAAGACTTCTGTGTGGCCAATAAGAATCTCAACAATGGCGGTATGTAAACAATCGCTTACATATATTCTCTACTTACTTTTCTCTTTTGTTATTATCAAATCCGATGTTGTAGTAATATACTTTTTGAAACAATATTTCTACATGTAGTTTTCGTGAACGGTAAGTTTTGTAAGGATCCGAAGCAAGTGAAAGCAGAAGATTTCTTCTACTCGGGCCTCAATGTAGCCGGAGACACGAATAATGATGTCAAATCCAACGTGACAACAGTCAATGTTGAGAACCTTCCAGGGCTAAACACTATGGGAATATCCTTGGTTCGCATAGACTATGCGCCATATGGCCAAAACCCACCTCACACGCACCCTCGTGGCACTGAGATCCTTGTCCTTATCGAGGGAACGTTATATGTTGGTTTTGTCTCTTCAAATCAAGACAACAACCGTTTATTCACCAAAATTTTGCATCCCGGCGATGTCTTCGTGTTCCCCATCGGAATGATTCATTTTCAAGTGAATATTGGGAAAACCCCTGCGGTGGCCTTTGCAGGTTTGAGTAGCCAAAACGCTGGTGTCATCACAATCGCAAACACTGTGTTTGGATCAAAGCCTCCGATTAATCCAGAGTTTCTGGCTCAGGCGTTCCAGTTAGATGCTAATATTGTTAAAGACCTTGAGGCCAAGTTTGCATCAAACAATTGAATCTAAGTGTTTAACATGGTTTCTCATTGTAACAAATAATGTAATACTAAGAAAAGGTTATGCTGAATAAAATAAGAAATAGTGTTGTTCACCTTATTCGATTTTAACATTCGCTGAGAAAGAAGTTCTTTCCAGAAACAATTAATTGGGATAGTTTTTCAGTGACTTCGCTAGAATGAATCACCATGCTATATAGCATGGTCTGCAAATTTTAGGTTTGAATAATTATTAAATTATTAAAGGATTTCT